CACTCTATAATATTCTGTCATGCGCACTTACATACATCTAATTTGAAGATTTACGCCTCAATCTATTGTAGTTCGTATAATGCAATAATTAGTACTCACATTTTTATATTGTCAGACCGTTAGGACGTTTTCGTTTGTTCCATATGGATCGAAACGTTTGTTAACTATATTATAATTAAATAAGTTATTTTTACTTGGAGCATTAAACATCTTCACTTGCTTTGGCTCAGAGTCTTTTACTTTTCAGTAATTTATTATTTATGGAACCGAAAATTTCCTTTTAATAAAATAATTAATTAGATCGAGTGTTGCGTGCATTTTATTTTAATTTTACAAAGATATAGCGCTAAATAAGGAAGCGACGTAAAGGAAATATGTGTAGAAAATATAAGATATTTTCTGTATTTCTGAAGAAGAGTGTCCTAAAAATTTTATAATTTTTTGCTATTCTACAAAATTCGATAATCTTGTATGAATTTTTGTATTATATTATTTAAATTTTTCATTAGAGTTTCTACAATCTGTAGTATATTTCGTATATTTTGCGCTTAATATATTTGCAGCATTGTTGTCAATTGTTATCTTAAACAAAGTATCAATTTCATCGAAAATGCAGCTTAAACAATTCGAATTTTAATGTTCAAACTGTGCACATTAATGTAGAAACATGTCTCGTAACTGTTTTCTAGCGATTTTGCCAGTATTTGTGTGTGGTATTTTGTCGATAAATTTAACGCCGCCCCGCAACATGCAGTCATTTCGCATATTCTTTTCCACTAAACTGATGAGCTCTTGCTCTGTTACCTATAAACGAAAAATTTAATAAATAAACGCAATATCTGTATAAATCTCGTGTAAAACTCAAGAGCGATTATTGTTTTGTTGACTCTATATTTAATACAATCGAAAATTAGTGTACTTACCGTTTTACCTGGCACTACAGAAACAATAGCCATTGGATGTTGGTCATCAATTTCATGTGGCACTCCTATTACTACTGCTTGGAATACCGTAGGATGAGTCAGTAAAACAGTTTCGATTTCCGCGGGTAAAATGTTGCGTCCTTTAAAGCTAATAAACTCAGATATTCTATCAACAATGAAGAGTTCTCC